AATTATCATCGTACATAATAAAATAGTTTTTAACGGTCACAAAAAAAAAAATCAAATTTATTGTAGTAAAATTTGTACCTCTCGGTAAGATAAAACTACATCAAAACACAAATCGATATTTATACAGGTAATATAGTATTTCATATAGAAAACAACATCTTATAAGTATAAGAACACGAAACAAACAAGAATTGAGACAAGATATATAAACCTCTCATATGCTTACTAGAAATGATAATTAAAAAGAAGAAAAAAAAAAACGAAGTATAGTTTTCAGTCGTGTATGAATGTATCTTTAATTCAACTCTTGTAGCCCAAAATTGAATATGGTATTCAAGGTTTAATGGTAGTTGTGTGTGGTGGGTTGAACGAAGGGATGGGTATGTCCTTTGGAAAGGTAGGCAAAACGGGCTTTGGTAGAGATGTAAATTCAGGCAACTTAGGGAGTTCGGGTTTTGGCAAGTTAGGCAATTTTGGTACTACAGGAACCTCAAGTTTAGGCAACTCAGGTAATTTTGGGAGCTCAGGCTTTGACAACTCAGGCACTTTACGTTCTTCCAAAGGAGACAATTGAGGTAATTTTGGGAGCTCAGGTTTAGACAATTCGGGCACTTTAGGCTTTTCTAAAGGAGACAACTGAGGTAATTTTGGGAGTTCAGGTTTAGGCAATTCCGGCACTTTGGGATTTTCCAAAGGAGGCAACTGAGGTAATTTTGGGAGCTCAGGCTTTGGCAATTCAAGCACTTTAGGCTTTTCCAAAGGAAGCAACTCAACCTTTGGCAATGGAGGAAGCTCAGGCTTTAACAAAATAGGTACTTCTGACTTCAGAAGCTCTTCAGGTACCTTGGGTAATGGCGACTCCAAAAGATGCCTCGCACTCACCGTCATCACAAAAAAATCGAAGCTCATCAACATAAAAGCACTAAGGATGAGGGGGAATACAAAAAACCCTTTACATGTAATTATTTTCTATTTATTATTTTTATTTCATTTTTTAATTAATTAAAATATATTTCAAGAAAATTTCTATTTAAATTTATAAACCATGGAAATAAATTTCTACATAAAAATATAATATTGCAAGAAAGTTTGAATTTAGTCTCTAGTGTGTATAATTCAAACTTTTATAAAATATTATTTTTATCATGTTTATACATATCACGTGGACGTTGGGGTTGGAGCTGGGAACGACATGAGATGGAAGCGGAGATAAAAAATGCAATCTTGTGTTCGTCGTCATCGTTTAGGTAATGAAAAAGTTGACTTAAGAGTTGGCTTACTTGCCAAACAAAGTAGATGATGCTATTAACGTATTGGCTAGTATGGATGGAATTTGTTGGGCAAATCATGATTGATGCATACCCTATTGACCTTTTGATGTTCATCAAAATGTAATTGAATGATTGATGTAGCTTAAAGTTGATGTCAATGTCCATGTCCATTGCAAGTGTCGATGTCGATGTCCATGTCCATGTCCATGTTCATGTTGATTACATTAACATATCACATGTCAAACAATTATAGAATATGACACGTGTAGGGCCATAGAGCATCATTCATACGTATATAAGTCGTTTAATTAAACTAATAGTAAAGTCACTTACTTGGTTAGCATAAGTCAAAATCACTATGTTTTTTTGGTACTGGCTTAAAGTTGCTCTTTGAAGTCTAATTCTACCGGGGTAGTCCCACAATCATAATTTAAAATTTTACTATGGAACTTGACTTATCTAATTGCATAAAATAATTTAAATTGGCTAAAAAGTTATAAGAGTGTGGAAAACTTCCCCTAACAGACGCGTTTTAAATCCTTGAGGGGAAGCCCGAAAGGGAAAGTCCAAAAATGACAATATCTACTAGCGGTGGATCTTGGCCGTTACAGGAGTGGTCTAGGTCATGGGTGTCGCTTGTGTGGGCTAGACAATCGAAGATGACGTAGGTTCAATCAATCTGTCATTGTAACCTCACCATAACTATACGATGATGGAAGTTTAAGTTTCAATGTTAATTACAAATTGACGTCTTTGTCAATCATTGTTGTACCATACTATCGCAACTAAAAAGGTGGTGATTATGAAGAACCATTATCATACATATATAACCATTGTCGTAAAAATCAATTTTGTTGTAACATAAATTAAATTTTCTACTCCATGCTCGATAGAACTATATAGAAATATCATTAATATTATCACATATATAAAAAAAATACAAATCAACGTTTATTAATATAATATAGTGTGGAAGACAATTTCCTAAAAGTATAGGAACACATATATGAATAGAGACGACATAGTAAACAACTCAAACACTCACTAAAAATGATAATTAAAAAGAGAAAAACAAATATAGTTTTAAGTCATGTATGAATGTATCTTTAGTTCAACTCTCGTAGCCCAAAGTTGAATATGGTATTCAAGGTTTAAGGGTAGATATGTGTGGTGGGTTGAACGGAATAGATATGTCCTTTGGAAGGGTAGGTAAAACGGGATTTGGTAGAGGTGTAAATTCAGGCAACTTAGGGAGTTCAGGTTTAGGCAAGTTAGGCAATTCTGGTACTACGGGAACTTCAAATTTAGGCAACTGAGGTAGTTCTGGGAGCTCAAGCTTTGACAATTCGGGCACTTTAAGCTTCTCCAAAGGAGGCAACTGAGGCAATTTTGGGATCTCAAGCTTAGGCAATTCGGGCACTTTAGGCTTTTCCAAAGGAGGAAACTGAGGTAATTTGGGGAGCTCAGGATTTGACAATTCGGGCACTTTAGGTTTTTCCAAAGGAGGCAATTGAGGTAATTTCGGTAGCTCAGGCTTTGGCAATTCAGACACTTTAGACTTTTCCAAAGGAGGCAACTGAGGCAATTTTGGGAGCTCAGGCTTAGGCAATTCGGGCACTTTAGGCTTTTCCAAAGGAGGCAACTCAACCTTCGGCAATGGAGGAAGCTCGGACTTTGACAAAATGGGTATTTCTGGCTTCGGAAGCTCTTCAGGTACCTTGGGTAATGGCGACTCCAAAAGATGCCTCGCACTCACCATTATCACAAAACAATCGAAGCTCATCAACATAGAAACACTCAGTATGAGGGGGAATACGAAAGTTGAGAAGCGAGTAGCCATTGAATTTTCAAAAGAGTCCAAAAATAATAACACGAGATGAATTATAGATTATCAAAACCCGAAACAATCTTGATTCGTTTATGGTAGTTTGATGATCTCCCTGGCTACCATGTCTAGCTTTTTATAGACAAAAGAGACGTGGAAGAGAGCATACATGCGTTGGAAATCAAATGATGGGCAGGAAAATTAGACTGTTAGTTCAACTTTTCCACCTACTCATATTTAAACTCCCAAGTGACCTCGTAATATGAGAACCTTTCTTAAAACAAAATAGTTGTAAGAATAAAATAATTGTTTATTTGATATTTGTACTTTATAAAATTTAAAATAATTATAAAAAGAAAAAAAAAACCTTTACATGTAATTATTTTCTATTTATTATTTTTATTTTATTTTTAATTAAATAAAATATATTTCAAGAAAATTTCTATTTTAATTTATAAATCATGTGAATAAATTTCTACATAAAAATATAATATTGCACGAAAGTTTGAATTTAATCTCTAGCGTGTATAATTTAAACTTTTATAAAATAATATTTTTATCGTGTTTATACATATAATGTGAACATTGGAGTTGGAACTGGGAACGACATGAGATGGAATCGGAGATAGAAAATGCAAACTTATCTTCGTCGTCATTGCTTAGGTATTGAAAAAGTTGGAGTTAAGAGTTGGCTTACTTGCCAAACAGAGTAGATGATGCTATTAACATATTGGCTAGTATGGATGGAATTTGTTGGCCAAATCATGATTGATGCATACCCTATTGAACCTTTTGATGATCATAAAAAATGTAATTGAATTATTGATGTAGCTTAAAGTTGATTTCGACGTCCATGTCGATTGCAAGTGTCGATGCCCATGTCCATGTTCATGTTGATTGCATTAACATATCACACGTCAAACAATTATAGAATATGACACGTGTAGGGTCATAGAGCACACATCCTTCATACATATATAAGCCGTTCAACTAAGCTAATAGTAAAGTCACTTACTTGGTTAGCCTAAGTCGAAATCACTATGTTTTTTTGGTACTAACTTAAAGTTGCTTCTTGAAGTCTAATTCTACTTAAGTAGTCCCACAATCATAATTTAAAATTCTACAATGGAACTTGACTTATCTAATTATTATAAAATAATTGAATTGGCAAAAAGGTAGTCATATTGAACTTAAATGACTCTAAAAGTGTCATGAACGGCACTCGAAGAGTTGAAAATGGCATAAAATGGTCCGAACGTATCAAATTTAAGCTAGATCAACTGAAAACCCCGAATTGGAGTTATTAAAAATGTAGCGTTTGAGACACCATAAACACGTCTAAGCGCTACACATAAACAACACCAAATATCAGCTGAGAGACAATTTGTACGCAGATGTCTCGATGGCATCCCGATGTTTCGAACGTTGTTGATCGGCATGGCAATAGAAGCATCGCAATGTTATCCCATTCAAACTTTGACTTCATTTCTTCTTCTATTTTTTTATTATTATTATTTCTTCCGTTCAAATGATCTAATTTTCATTATAAAATCAACATAAACTTTGTTGGATGGAAGTTTGAATGTAACATCTTTGTCGATTATAATTGTACCATAACCGTCTATTAAACCATTGATACGATATCAGTCTAGAATTGTCATTAAAAAATCAAATTATTGCAAGAAAAATTAAAATATCTACTTCCATGGAAAATGAAATTATATCAAAACATCATTAAAATTATCTTACACAAAAAAGAAAAAAAAAGGCACAAATCAATGTTCATTCATGTAATATATTTTATCGGTGTAGAAGACAACATCTTAAAAATGGAAGAACACAGATATGAATAGAGACAATGTACATAAACAACTCGTATACATACTAAAAATGATAGTTAAAAAGAGAAAAAAATATATAATTTCCAATCGTATAGGAATGTATGTTTAGTTCAACTCTTGTAAACCAAAGTTGAATATGGTATTCAAGGTTTGATGGTAGATGTATGTGGTGGGTTGAATGAAGGAATAGGAATGTCCTTTGGAAGGGTAGGCAAAACAGGCTTTGGGAGAGGTGTCAATTCCGGCAACTTAGGGAGTTCAGGTTTAGGCACATTAGGCAATTCTGGTACTTCGGGTACGTCAAATTTAGGCAATTGAGGTAATTTTGGGAGCTCAGGTTTCGAAAATTCAGGCACTTCAGGCGTTTCCAAAGGAGGTAACTCAACCTTTGGCAACGGAGGAAGCTCAGGCTTTGACAAACTGGGTAGTTCAGGCTTCAGAAGCTCTTCAAACACTTTAGGTAGTGGCATCTCCAAAAGATGTCTCGCACTCACCACCGTGACAAAACAATCGAAGCTCGTCAACATAAAAACACTTAATATGAGAGAAGATGCAAAAGTCGAAAAGTAAGTAGCCATTGAATTTCAAATTTTGTAATAATAAGCGGGGTTATAGAAGAAAGATCAAATGATAGTGACGAGAACGAACTTGACGACTCGTTTGGATGATCTCCATGGCTACAATGGAGAGGTTTTTATAGATATTAAGAGGCGTATGGAAGAGATGATGGCTAGGAAAATTAGTGTTGGTTCAACTTTCCCACCTACTCGAAGTGCCAAGTGAGCTTGTAATTTGAGTAGCTTTCATATAATAAAATATTTATAAGAATAAAAAAAATAGTTTATTCGACTTTTAGCACTTAATAAGATGAGATGTTGAATGAAGTTTACGAACGGGATTGGGATACAATATAACGACCCAAGCCCACCGCTAGCAGATATTGTTCTCATTTTGCTTTCCCTTTCGGGTTTCCCCTCAAAGCTTTAAAACGCATTTGCAGGGGAAATATTTCCACACCCTTGGTGTTTTGTCCTCTCCTCCCCAACCAATGTGGGTTCTCACGTACAAAATATATAAATTGACAGCCTCACACTATGTAGACAACATGGACGCCTCAGGTCGACACCCCTCATCTCGACATGTGGCATCATTCACCTGAAAAAGGAAATGAAGTAATGGGTGAGTATCAAAAATACTCGATTAGCAAACTACTGGTAGGCACTCATCATTTCCTTATCTTAGGAGGTTCCCATGAGCTTCTCTCTAGGCTCTAGGAAATTTTGGGCTAGCCTCTAGTGTTATTGTAGGCAATCACAAGGCACGACAAGACAAAGATCATCATTTTCTTATCTTAGGAGGTTCCCATGAGCTTCTCTCTAGGCTCTAGGAAATTTTGGGCTAGCCTTTAGTGTTATTGTAGGCAATCACAAGGCACGACAAGACAAAGATCATCATTTCCTTATCTTAGGAGGTTCCCATGAGCTTCTCTCTAGGCTCTAGGAAATTTTGGGCTAGCCTCTAGTGTTATTGTAGGCAATCACAAGGCACGACAAGACAAAGACCACAAGACACATGTCATTTATACTTCAAACAATTCATCCAAAGTTAACCGTAAAATCGTTTACTTGATTAGCCTAAATCAGACTTATTATCTTATCCTTAGTGTTATTTTGAAACTACCTTGGAGCAAGTTAATTGTCTCCATTAAGGTCAAAATAGCTCCAAAATGGTTAGATAGAGTCATAAAGATCAAATCATGGATCGAGTCATGGGTCGGGTCACTAGATCAATGCATGTCTAGAAGTTGGGTCATTGGTGGATTATTGGGCTATAGGCATACTACTAAGTTAGACTACATAGATCGTTGGGCTGGAGGGGTCTAGGTCGTGGGTGTCGCTTGTGTGGGCTAGACAGTCGAAGATGACGTAGGTTCAATCGATATGTCATTGTAACCTCACCATAAATATACGATGATGGAAGTTTAAGTTTCAATGTTGATTACAAATTGACATCTTTGTCAATCATCGTTGTACCGTACTATCGCATCTAAAAGGATGGTGATTATGAGAAACCGTTATCATACATATATAAAATTGTCGTAAAAATCAATTTTGTTGTAAGATAAATTAAATTGTCTACTCCATGTTTGATAGAACTATATAGAAATATTATTAATATTATCACATATATATAAAAAAAAAAAAAAAAACACGAATCAACGTTTATTAATATATTATAGAGTGGAAGACAATTTCCTAAAAGTATAAGAACACATACATGAATAGAGACGACGTAGGTAAACAACTCAAACACTCGTTAAAAATGATAATTAAAAAGAGAAAAACAAATATAGTTTTCAGTCGTATATTGAATGTATCTTTAGTTCAACTCTTGTAGCCCAAAGTTGAATATGGTATTTAAGGTTTAAGGGTAGATGTGTGTGGTGGGTTGAATGAAGGAATAGGTATGTCCTTTGGAAGGGTAGGTAAAACCGGCTTTGGTAGAGGTGTAAATTCAGGCAACTTAGAGAGTTCAGGTTTGGGCAAGTTCGGCAATTCTGGTACTACGGGAACTTCAAATTTAGGCAACTGAGGTAGTTCTGGGAGCTCAGGCTTTGGCAATTCGGGCACTTTAGGCTTTTCCAAAAGAGGCAACTGAGGTAATTTTGGGAGCTCCGGCTTTGGCAATTCGGGCACTTTAGGCTTTTCCAAAGGAGGCAATTGAGGTAATTTTGGGAGCTCAGGCTTTGGCAATTCCAGCACTTTAGGCTTCTCCAAAGGAGGCAACTGAGGTAATTTTGGGAGCTCAGGCTTTGGCAATTCAGGCACTTTAGGCTTTTCCAAAGGAGGCAACTCAACCTTCGGCAATGGAGGAAGCTCGGGCTTTGACAAACTGGGTACTTCTGGTTTCGGAAGCTCTTCAGGTACCTTAGGTACTGGTGTCTCCAAAAGATGTCTCGCACTCACCGTCATCACAAAACAATCAAACCTCATCAACATAAAAGCACTCAGTATGAGGGGGAATACGGAAGTTGAGAAGCGAGTAGCCATTGAATTTTCAAAACCGTCAAAAGACAATAACACGAGATGAATTATAGACTATCGAATCCTGAAACGATCTTGATTTGTCTCCATAGCTACCATGTATAGGTTTTTATAGCTAAAAGAGACGTGTTTGAGAAGAAATGATGGGTAGGAAAATTAGATTATTAGTTCAACTTTCCCACCCACTCATCAGCTTCTTTCTTATAAAAATAAAATAAAATTAAAGGTTGTTGCAACAAAAGTTGAGCTTCAAAGTATGTCTTTTATGTATACTTTATATTTTAAATTATAAAACATTAGTTTATTTAATTTTTATGCATATATTGATTTTTTTTTAATTGTTTGTTCGGGTGTTATACCCGATTAATTAATTTAATTTCAAAAGTAATATTGAAAAGTTTGGATATAACGTCATAGACAGTTTTCGTCCATATATTGATGGTAAGAATTTTTCTTTTAACTTTTTTTTTATAAAAGTAAAAGGTGTTAATACTACTTTTAATGTTTCATGTGTAACGACCCTAATTTTCTAGTAACCTAAAGTTGCTACCGTCATCATAACGTATTATCTTATGTGGAAATAAACGTTTAAAGTTCATCATAAAACATTACCATGGACTTACGTGTTCGAAAGCATCTTTAAACCAACACACTGAAATACTAAATAAAATAAATAAACGTTAAAAGTAAAAACACCCTATTCTAACCTAAAGTCTAAGAAATTAAATACATGTATGTGTCATGGTCTCGACTTGTGATGTCGTCGTCGGCTGTACAGATATGTCTTGTCTTTACCTGAAATAGAAGTAACACGTGACTTGAGTATTTTAAGAAATACTTATTAAGTGACCCCACTACTAGGGTTAGATGTAAACACATACAATCATGAGTGGACCTATCATATCAGTCTATATTCCCTAGGCAGCTATCCTAAACGGGTTATTTGGATGTGTATTTATTGTTCTACACACGGTCCACACGTGCAAGTATGGACCCACCAATTGGTTCGTACACCTCCTGGTTCCCTTTCTTGTCGGACGAGCATTCTCGGGTAGTTGTTGATGTGGACACCCATTTAGGAATCTCGACCGTCGCAGTATTATGATAAACATAATGATCGTTTTCCTACCTCATAGTGTACGCGTTTGTACCATCATAAAATAGGAGTATTCCCCGATGGATGAACACACAATGATGCATGAGATACCAACATTTTTATTCATTATCATATAAGACAATCTTTTCCATTTTTCTTTCATATCATATCGTTTTCATCATAGCTTTCCTTACATAAGTTGAGATTGTGCATTGCGTCGACACATTTTACCATATATCATTCATATCATGTATCGTGTCATATCATGTCATATCGCATACCCTGTAACATGTACCATATCGCCAAACGTGTTACACCATAACATTTATCATATCATCAAAACATTACATCATAACAGAATCATAACAATCACATATCATTTCGTAGTCACAATGTATAACAGATATATCATGGACTTATCATTTCATATTGTTTCATAAAGATATCATAGCCATATCTCTTCATATACATATCAAGAAGTGCAGACGAGTATCGAGGCTATTAAATGTCAAATCTAAATTCTGACTTGAGTTATTACACTTGTTATAATAAAATTTAAAAAAAATAACATGATCCACTCTATTAAAATCTCGGGTTAATATTAATAAAAAAACAATAAATAATAATGATAAAAAAAGAGAAAATCTATGTAGTAATAATAATAATAAATAAATAAAAAGAGGAGTCAAATTAAATCTTTCTTGTCGCATAATCCATATTGATCATGGAAGCAGGTTGCTAATTCAATGATGTCCCCAAACTTCATTCGACGAAGGACACCTTTTCGTGTTCAGAGAGTCAACTCTGTTTGCCAAAGACGACCAACGAGAATGATGTTTGGAATAATTCGCTAACAAGGGGAAGAGCAAAGCTGCCCTCTCTCTCTCTCTCCAAATTTCGACTACTAAATAGCACTTTTACTCAATCGATAGGGAGAGGAGCGAAGCCACATCGAGCAGCCTATATGCAATGTCACGATGTTGCTATTTTAAACGAGGGTTTTGCAAAGGGGTCTAGTAAGGTGGATGTGGCCCTAAGTCTTGGGTTAAACGAAGGAAGCCTCTTGAGCCACATTAGGCTTAGGCTTAGCCTGTCCCTTAGTTTGGGTGCGGCTGAATTGGGCCAATGTCAGTCCTTGGGCCGTGCCAGTTTGATGAGACCAAATATCATAAATATTAATAAAAATAAAACTTTCCACACACGCCACACATGCATGCACAGTCCTTGGGCCGTGGCAGTTTGATAAGAACTTGGATGGATGAAAGTTTGTTCGGTCACACACGCCACTCGTGCATACATGTTCAATCGTTTACGACTCTACTAACTTGCCTCAACAAGAAGTCAGGTCTCTCATGTGCAATGTCGCATGTCAGTCTTCATCTTGGTTCCCAACAAGACTGTCCATGCATCATTATGCCATACCATGTCTTCGGACATCTCGGTCATCTTAGCTTGTTTGGACATGTCTATCAGG